ACGAGCAGGGCGCCGCCACGCGGGGCCCCCCGGGGGGAGGGGGGCGGGCGGGGCGGGTGCGTCTCCTCCGCCCGGTGATCCACGCGAGGGGGTCCAGCTCGGCGAGGGCCCTGCTGGTCGGCTCCACCTCGTCGGGAGCGTCGGATCGGCTGCGCTGAAGGGCGCCCAGGGACACGCAAATAGTTACACACACAACTCCCAAGATCCCCAAGATGCGTCATGTCTTCTGGATTTTCGATTCCCCCCCACTTCTTCCATGTTTCCAAGGGATCAACGACTAATTGTGTCTGGGTGTGTTTTTGTCCCCTTCTAATGCGCGCAAGGGTGACTCTGCGTAGGCGAGGGTGGCCCTTGGTGCGCGGATTCAGTGGCGAGCGGGGGGCCACCACATCCGCGCGCGCAAGCCAATGCTGGGGTTAGGTCGGGCATGTCCCCCTGGAGGCGGAATTTGGGACGAAACATTAAACAATACAACAAAAGAACTCGAAAATTGTCAAAGAATTGGCGAAACATCGTCCCCCGACTATTTTCTTGACTGCTTCTGGATACTCCTCCTGTGGATGGACACGCCCGACTCGGTGCTGGGGGGGCCCCCCGTGGGCCCGCGCCAGAGACGCCCACTCTGGCGAAGCGCCACTCCTGCGCGGAGCCGGCCGGAGCGTCGTCCCCCCCCCCCGCCCCCCAAAGTTGAGCAGGGACCGACCGTCCCAGCATTCCTAAAGTCGTACCACGACATGTTTTAGAACCCAGACATGTTCTAAGAACAAAAACAATGTTCTTAGAGCATAAACCCGATGTGATAAAACAAGACAGGCCCCGCCAGAAATGTTCTAATAATATTTCGTGGAAACCACAAAAGGTTCTTAGAACATTGTTTGGTGGGGCTATAGGCACGCCAGGACGCTTCGCCACTGCTTGACCGCCGCCCCCCAACGGGCGGCGGGCCCCCACGGCGAGGAGCCGCGCGGAGGGCGGCGGGCCCCATGGCCCCCCCCCCCCCCCCGGGGGCGGCGGGCCCCCCCTCCACTCCCCCCAAAGGAAGGGGCCCAAGGACACACACACACAAAACCCAAGCCTCCCCCATACTCTCCCTCTTCCCCCCCACTTCCCATACTTTCTCACATTTCCGTGGGAATCGAGGATTCCTTGTGCCTGTGTGTGTGTGTATGTTTTCCCTCCTGACCAGCAAGGGCGCCAGAGAGCACCCTGGCGGCACGTCACTCTTTCGCGGAGCCGGCCGGACGGAGCGCCCCCCGCCCCCCCCCCAGGGGGCGGTGGGCCCCCCGCGGCGAGGAGTCGCACGGAGGGCCGCGCGGGCGGCAACACGGCCTACAGGGCAGCTTTTAAGACATAGCATTTTCAAACATCTATGACTTCTAATCCATGACTAATTCACCAATACATTTATGCATGAACTCCTCGTTGTTTTTAATGCTAAATCCCTGCATTTTTTAATACATGATCCGCACGCGGAGCATGTATCAAAAACGGCACTGTACGCCGAAACCTCCAGGGTAGGTCTGGTCAGGGGTCGGGGATGGACAGAACCCCCTTTAGTAAAACGTGGTTTAGTGAAAACGACCTCGGGCCCAAACCTGGCGGGCACAAGCCTGGAAAATGACGGCCGCGGCGCCCTCTCGAAAACCGAAAACGGACAATTCACTAATCGACGTGTCAGGGTGGGGGTTCTGTCCACCCCCGAAGGGGTGCAGTCGGGCCCAGGCCAGAAGAACGTCCTTCGAGAGCAGGCAGAGGCCCTCCGTCGACCAAAGAGCACACAGGGCATCCAAGGGTGCCCTCGCCCTCCTTCTCCTCGTCCTCCTCCTCCTCCTCCTCCTCCTCCTCCTCCTCCTCCTCCTCCTCCTCCTCCTCCTCCTCCTCCTCCTCCTCCCCCTCCTGTGGAGGGGCACGCCCGACTCGCACCTGCCGTGCCCCACCTCGGCGGCACGCCGCGGCTCCAAGGGTGCCCTCGCTGGGGTGCACCAGAACATCCAGCACACGAGAAGAACGTCAAGGTGCCCTCCCCGCACAGACCTCGACCTTGCACCTCGGCCCGGCTGTACGGCAGGTTCGGGTCGTGCCGACTTCGGCGTTGGTTTCTGACACCGCGGGGATCGTTCAACCTTGAACGATCGGCCTTTCCCGAAACGGTTCTGGGTCGCCCGCGGCGTTCAGAATTGAACGCCGCTGGCGGGGTCGCCGCTGGTCGACACGACACGAACCTACTGCTAGGTCGGGCATGCCCCCCTACAGGAGGATCTTGGACGACGAATGAAACATAGCCAGAGAATTAGCAAACCGTGCTCCGACATAGTCAAACACTGGTCCCCAGATCATCTGTTTTTGTCAAACATCTATTTTTTGGATGTTCCTCCTCCTCCCTCCTCCTCCTCCTCCTCCTCCTCCTCCTCCTCCTCCTCCTCCTCCTCCTCCTCTCCTCCTCGTCTCCTCCTCCTCCTCCTCCTCCTCCTCCTCCTCCTCCCTTTCCTCCTCCTCCTCCTCCTCCTCCTCCTCCTCCTCCTCCCCCTCCTGTGGAGGGGCACGCCCGACTTGCACCTGCCGTGCTCCACCTCGGCGGCACGCCCCACGGCTTCGAGGGTCGAGGGCCGACCCGCCCTCGAGGCTCCCCTCGGCGCCCTCCTGGGAGGCGCTCGGGCGCTCTGGCTTTTGCTCGGCGCCTCGGCATTCGGGCGGACGAGGGGGGGGGGCCCACTCGGGCGAAGAGAACTATGCACATGCACCGATCCTGGCAAGGCCCATTTTTGACCCAGGATCGGTGCATATGCCTTCCTGGCCAAGGTAGGAGGGCGTATGCACCGATCCTGGGTTCAGGATGGGCCTGGCCAGAATCGGTGCATGTGCATAGTTCTTTTCCCTCGACCCACTTCCCCCCCCTCGTTGTTGGTGATCTTCGGCGGTGGACAAGCCTCCCTCTAGTAAACCTCCCCATTCAGGAAGCAGGCCTGGGGCCGAGTTCGACGGACCCGGGCCCGCAAACATGACGGCCGCGACGCCCTCTCGCGAACCGAACACGGCCAGTTCCTCCGAGATCTGATGCTCTCTACACTGCGTCGTCTCTCACCTTTTCCCTCCTGACCCCCCCCCTGCACCTCGGGCCATGCGCCGAGGTGGAGGGGCAGGACAGGTGGCTGCACGACGACGATCGACCGCCATGAGTGAGTGGGTGAGGCCGACCAGCCATAACTGGGGGAGCTGTGGTCCTTCTCCCCTGGGGGAACCCATCGCGTCGACGATCTCTCGAAGGGGTGTCGAAATCGATGGGTCCCCCAGGGGGGTAAGGACCACAGCTCCCCCAGTTGTGGCTGGCCTGTGAGGGGGGGCGGGGGGCGTCTGGCTCCAGACCCCTGCTCAGGGCGACGGCGTGAAGCAGCGAGCCCCGCGTGGGAGGCCCCACCTGCCTGAAACGGGCGCCCCAGAGCAGCCAGGATCCCCACTCCAGTGGGGGGGAGGGGGAGGAGGAGGAGGAGGAGGAGGAGGAGGAGGAGGAGGAGGAGGAGGAGGAGGAGGAGGAGGAGGAGGAGGAGGAGGAGGAGGAGGAGGAGGAGGAGGAGGAGGAGGGGGAGGAGGGGAGGAGGAGGAGGAGGAGGAGGAGGAGGAGGAGGAGGAGGAGGAGGAGGAAGAGAAGGAGGAGGTGGGGTGCGAGGGCCCGCGCCGGTCGCCAGAACAAGGCATAAGAAAACCCTCCCCCGGGAAGTGCCCGGGAGCGCTGGTCGACCCGAGTGCGCGCGACTCCTCCTGCCCCCTCTTTTGAGCAAGGACCGACCGTCCCGGCATTCCTATAGTCCTACCACGAAATATTCTCAGAACCCAAAAATGTTCCAATAACAAAAGCAATGCTCTTAGAACGTACACCCGACGTGATACAACAAGACAGTCCCAGCCAGAAATGTTCAAAGAACATTTTGCGGGAACCACAAAAGGTTCTTAGAACACTGTTTGGTGGGGCTATAGGCACGCCAGGACGCTTCGCCACTGCTTGACTCTTGCATGGTTTGGAGGGTGGCTAAAACACTAACTCTTGACAAGCCTTTTAGTAACCCTGGGAATTACAAAAACAAAAGAAAAAACCCAAACACTGTGCAGGATGCCCCAAATAGGGCCTCACCTGTGGACCCCCTCTGTCTTCTGAGGATCCGCGGAATGGCGCGCGCCAGCGTCTCAAATAACCTTGTGGGGGCCAAGAACAACCTCGAACAACATCGGAGCCCGTTGAGATGGCGCCGGTCGCGCTGAACCAATTATCACATGACGTGCGTCACACTGGCGGCATATCGAATGATGAGCTCGTTCGGCCCGCGTTGGCGGCCATCCGCAGATTCACTCGTGACCGAACGCATCGTGCAAAACAGTTGCAAGGCGCCCGTGGCAGGGGGCCGCGGGGAGCAAGGGGCGAAGGGGAAACAAGAAAGGAAGGAAAGAAGAGACATGGCAGAGGAGGGCTGTCGGCCACGAATGACGGAGCGAGGACAGAGCAAGGATGAGGAGAGGGGAGGCGGCGAGGACGCAAGGGGTCTACAAGCAGGCGTTGGTGAGAAATCGCTTCTGTAGGAGTCCCAACCCTCCCAAACTCTGGCAACGCATTCTGAAAACCATGGCCGTCATGCTTGCCGCCCTCGCACTTGCAGTCTGCGTCCGTTCGTCGTCGTCGTGGTCGTCGACGCCGCCCTCATCCTCGTCTGCCTCCTCCTTCTCCGCCCATCCCACGCGTCCTCCACTTTACCCACCTCCCGAGCATCCCTGCGGACAGGAATCGCTTATTTTTCTAAAAGGGGTCTTTCCCCTCCGTTCCCCCCCGCCCTCTCCGATTTTCCCTTCCTTCTCCTCTTCCTCCTCCTCCTCCTCCTCCACCTCCTCCTCCCCCTCCTCCTCCTCCTCCTCCTCCTCCTCCTCCCCTTCCTCATTCACTCCCGCCCCGCGCTCTGCCGAGGCCCAGGCCTGCCCCTCAAGCAGACCCCCATCAAGCCACGCGCAATCGTGAATGCATTTTCCTCCTCGGTTGAACCGCGCTCCGACTCGCCGGCCAGTCGAGTCGAGCCCAGTCTCTAGCACCGCGCAAAATCAAATGAACGCTAACGTGTTAAACGAGCACAGGTCAACTTCTGGACTACATGCTTCAGCCGAGTCCGACGAAACCCAATGGCAAACAGCTTGGCTTGGCAACCACGCGTGCGACAGCATCATTTCTGTCAGTAACATTAGGCGAGGGGGGCTGGGGGCGAATGCGCGCCAGGGCGCTAAAGCCCCCAACAGTCGTGAATCGTGTGAGCGACGGCTGTGCAAGGGCATCTAATTAACCCAAGTCACTGTTTCCCCATCGGGGAAGCGTTACAACGCTGCCCCCCGAACCCTGGGCCTTGCTGGGGAAGAGGTGTTGGGCAAGCGACTTTGGCCTTATATGGCTCCTCGGCAGCGTAATTCAGATCGACGTGGCATCCAGTATGGCCCACGATAGCTAAATTAAATTAGATCCGAGATGGCCCCCAGCCTCCAACAAGCCTCCAAGCGACCCCTCCACCACTCGGCTGCGCAGCGTCGCTGGATGGGCTAGTGGGGACCAAGACGTTACTTGCTAACTATGGTGTCGCCATCGCTACCCCCACCGGTGCCACTGACATTACTGAAACGGTTGTGTCTTGCCCCGTGCAACCGCTGGTGATCGCAAGTGCCACCGCGCCCAGGAGCCGATGCCAAACCCCGATGCGAACGTGGCGCCAACGCGCGCGCGTGACCCCCGCGGCATGCACGCTGGGCTCCTTGGCGCAGCCACGCCGCCCCCCGCCCCGAGCAAACTCACGACATGCCCTGCAAATGGATCGCCAGTTTTTTGTTCACACTCATATATGGCCTGTTAGGGATGCCCTTCAACGCCTTGGAAACGAGTGTCGACCTCGTCTCGCCCGGGGCCAGCTTTCGCCAACCAGCCTGCACGCCGATCAGCGTGCCCACGATCAGCCCCCCCTTCTCCAGCACCTCCTAGAGTGCGAAGGCGACGTAAACGACGACGACATACAGTCGGACTTGGTTGGACAAGACACGCGAGAGGACACAAGACCCTTCCGCGGGCCACATTGCCACAGGAATGTAAGACGCATGGGTCGCGAGACACAGGACACAAGAGTACCCTTGATTTGGCAGGGTCGACCAACTAATCCAAGTCGACTGCACGTGGGGACCAGGAATGCAATCGCGTGCGTTGACCCCCGTATCCTTAGAGCAAAGCTGACGAGGCACGGCCACGAGATCGGAGATGGCTTTAGTGAGCTTCGCGAGGCCGTTGAAGTCTGGCAGCGACTTGCATAAAGGGAGCAGCGCCTCAAACTGCGGCATCCATTCTTTCTCCGCGGAATCAAGGGCCACGACCTCTTTCCAGAAAGTGAAAAATTCTACCGCCTCCTTGGTGTTAGGGATGTCAACGAACTTGGCGTCATTGTTGGGGAACTCGTCACTGTCGATGGCGTCCCCCAAGATTTTAAGTTTCGGATCGTTTGTCAACTTCTGGCAGGTGGTCGCCAGCCTCGTGTACGTGGTGCTGGTTTCACGCAGGGCCTTATTCATCCAGCCGGCGCACTTGTCAATGGCGTACTCTCCGAATGGCATGGTCGCTTGCGCCAAGTCGAACTCTTTGCTGGCCACGATGAGATGCTTCAGCTTAGTCAAGAGGCGCCGGGCTGCCGTGGCATCCAAAAGGCGGTTGCTGCTAACGACGTCTAGCGTGAATTGGCCAACGGGTAACAGGGTGGCGCTTAGGCACACAACATTGAGGGGCACGCTTGTGCTTTCCACCTCCAGGACAGCAGACTTCTTATCCAACCTCGCGGCCAAGTTGGTGCACAAGTCTTTGCACCCAGCCTCCAAAGCTGTAGCCTCGGTCATGGAACTGCAGGTGCACGGCGCAACTGAAAACACGCAGCACGGAGCAGGATCGCTCCGTAGAAAGTCAAACGAAAGCGCTCGCCCCGCGGGCGCGTCGTCAGAATTCACAGAACAACGTCAGGCGCACACACAATTGAACTCACATGTGGAAATAGCAACACAAAGTACGAGCATTGGCAAAGGCAAAATAATGACATCCAGCGCAGGCCCCACGCGGGAATACTGTCATCAACTCTGTTACCCTGTTGTTTGCAGCGAAGCGCGGTCAGTCATACTGCACTGACGAGCGTTGGCCTCCCGAAATGCAAATTCTCTCTGCGTGGTGTATGTTATGTGATGAAATATATGTGGTGCAATATTTGTGGTGTAAACTATGTTGTGTAGGATGTGCGGTGCAAGTCACGCGGTGCATATTGGCGGCGCAGGTTCTGCAACCCACCCCAGATAACCACGGGCGAAGGCGTGATCAGCTACAGCACTAAGCTAAAGACCCAAGGAATGATGGCTAGATCCTCTGGTCGGGAACCCTTTGGTCCAGACTTCCCGGCGACTACATGCCCAAGAAGAAAACATAACGGGGATATTTTGGCCAGCGGCGGGCATGTGAGCGGCAAACGGAATAGAAACGCGCACGGATGATGCCGCATCGGCGATGCATCGGGCCGTGTGCGGGCGCACGGTTGCCTGGGCGGCGCCAGTCGCATCGGGCCGTGCGCCGACGAATGGGGCCTGGCTTAAGCATCAAATCGTGCTTGGGCGTGCCAGCCCATCCGCGATGTTGAGGACTTGCCCTCCGCCCCACGATTTGGGACCCGTGCCCGACCGTGATCGATCATGCCCATCATTTGCCTCTCCGCCCCTATTGTTATCTCTGCAAAGCTTACTTCGGAATTCCACTGGTTCTCTCAAGGCCCAATATAATTCCAATGGTCCGCCCCTGTTTGCCTCGTAGCAATCGATGTCAGACGATCGCGAAATTAGCCAGGCGCGGGAGGCACGGGCCAACATTTCCCCCCGAGTTCTTTTTTTTCCACAGGTGGCCGGCCGGATTAACGTCACCACATTCCCCCCCCCCCCGGCACGGGCTTCGGGCCGACCGGGAGTAGCGTGGCGTAGCGTAGCACAACGACCGCCAGCGGAAACCGTGACAGGCCGCCCTCCTCCCCCTCCTCTTCCTCCTCCTCCTCTTCCTCCTCCTCCTCCTCCTCCTCATCCTTATCTTCCTCCTCCTCCTCCTCCTCCTTCCCCCTCCTCCTCCATCCGAGGATTTCCCCCCCTTGGGCACCCTCGACCTCCTCTGGTGGCCGTTCGTCCGACCTATTCTAAAATATTTTAGAATAGGTCGCTGCACGGGTTCTCCTCTTCCTCGTGCATCATTTCATCATCATCATCGTCATCTTCACCAGCATCATCACCATCATCATCCTCATCATCATCCTCATCATCCTCATCATCATCAACACCATCATCATCGTCATCATCATCACCATCATCATCACCATCATCATCATCACCATCATCATCATCATCATCATCATCAGCATCATCATCATCATCATCATCATATTCATCATCATCATCGTCCTCTTGCTCCTCCTCCTCCTCCTCCTGCTCCTCCTCCTCCTCCTCGTCCTCCTCCTTCTGTTTCCTCCTCCTCCCCTCCCCCCTCCCTCCTCCTCCTCACTCTCTCCCCTCCTTCCTCCCCCTCCCTTTCTCCTCCTCCTCCTCCTCCTCCTCCTCCCCCTCCTCCCCTTCCTCCTCCTCCTCCTCCTCCTCCTCCTCCTCCTCCTCGTCTTCCTAACCGCTTGGCCCTCATCCTCCTCCTCCTCCTCCTCCTTCTCCCTCCTTATTTTCCTCCCCGTTCCTCCTTTCTCCCATTTCTCCATGATCCCCCTCTCCCCCCCTGGCGTTTGCCTGGACTCGCGGCCCGAATTCGGCCACGTTCGAAGGGCAACCCTGGAAGGATACTTGTTTACAACGCAGTTTGCGGGGTCTGATGGCCTCGGGGATTTTCGCACTCGGCATTCATCCCACCCCCCTGCAACGGAGGCCCAGGGACAGGGGGGGGGGGGGGCGGAAGATCAGGGCGGAAGGGGGGGGGGGAGGGGAGGATGAGGGAAGAACGCGCATACCGATGGGCATTCCTACGCCTATTGCTCAACGCAGGCGCAAAACTAGCCGAAGTTAAACACATACCACTCGAAACCCTGGGAATGTAATGCCAAACGCACTCAAGGAGGGCAGAGAGAGGAAAGGAGGGATAAACATGAGGAGGAAGGGGAGATCGCCCTGATGCTGGCCATCGGTTGGTTTCACGTTGGGGTGGTGCGGGCAGGCTTCACTGTGACCATCGGCCATCGTGGGTCCATCTGGGAACCCGCGGCCCTGCGATCCGCGATCGGTCTGATCATCATCGTGAGTCGTGATCGCCACGATTGTTCGTTCACCTCCGATTGGCCGCAAAGCCACTGGCCTCGGCGGAATCGCTCGCATCACACGTGCCGATCAAGTCCCTGTTGAAGATGGTGCCGACGACGTCACCCGTCACCTTGGGCAGCTCGGCGGCTTGCAACCCAGGCATGGTTGGCGCAAGGGCGAGAATGAACTTGTGGGAAGAGACCACCAAATTAGACAAGTAACGTTTCTTCTCGGCAACGCACTTGGATTCCAAGGCAATTTGAAACGCATCAAGCATCGAGCAGTCTTGGAACACAACCTTCACTGACGAAGCCGCTTGCAAGCACGCGTCTGCAGCGCTCAAGTTGTTGACCGTGACGCAGTGCAGCAATGGCGCGAGAATCCGCAGGGACACTACGAACGCGGACATCTTGGCTGAGTCATCCTTGTACGCATTCTTGGAGCTCTCCGAAGCGACGGTCACCAACGGCGTCTGAGAGATGCCGACGATCGCGTCGTCCAAAGTCTTGAGCTTGTCGGCCGCCCCCTCGATCGGCAACCCGCTGCCGATTGCAGCCGTCAGTTCGGGCAAGATGCTCGAGCAGGCGGCGGCGAAATGCGCCCGGCAAGCGCTGGCGACGCATGTCTCCATGCTGCCCAGGGTGGCCTTGCACTCCTCCAAGGCCGCTGCGTGTTGCTTCTTGAACGCGTCGGTGCAGTTGGCTTCGATGGTGACTAGCTTCTTGCGGGCGTCGGTCCACGAGCTTTGGCTGGCGGCGCGGCACTGCATTGCCCCAGTCTCGGCAACCTTCTCGATGTTCGCCGACGCCTGCGGCAAACGTTGGCACATCAGCTTGAGGTCCGCCACCTCCTTGGTGAACCGTTTGTCGGCAGCCCATCTCGCCAGCAGATCCGTGACAACCTTGACGATGTGCTTCCCTGTCTCAAACATGAACAAAGCCTTGTAGAATGGGCCTTCCTTCGCGCTCCGCAGCTCCTGCAGAGCGCGCTCCACCTTCAACGTGTCCTCGGGAACTGTGCCGACGGCCGCCGACGTGAGTAAACCGAGGCGCTCCACGTGGTCCCTCATCGTCGAATCCAGGATGCGGACGTCGGGCGGCAAGGCAACCTGGTGCAAGAATGTGTGAAGGTCACCTGCTGCTGCGCGAACCTGTTTCAACGCCTCGCTCTCGGAATGGCCTGGCGGGGCGCCCTGGCCACCCTTCAGCATCTCGATGATGGTTACCAGGAGGAGATGGCTCTGCAAAACCTGCACGTCAGCCTCCTTCTCGAAAAGGTGGAAGCCGAACTCGTGCTTAATGGGGTTCTCACTGGACGGGGACCTGGAGGAGAGGATCGCCTGACACGCGCCCCAATTCTTCTCACGCCTCGCTTCGCTAAAGCCGCGAATCACCACGGTCTCCAACACGAAGCTGGCTATCTGGACGCCTGCGCCCTTGGCAATGTTGTGCTCCGCCAGAAGGGACTCAGCTGACGTCCTCTCGCCATCTTTGGCGTTGAGACAAACCACGACGCCATCGCACGACCTCAATTTGTCGCGAGCTTTCTGGAGATCTTCATACACTGTCATTCCTGGAGTGCCATCCGTGCCATTGTAGTCCTTGCTGTACAGGATAGTCAGCTCCGGCGTAAGACGCTGGTCCAACTTTGCAACCTCGCGCACGAAAGCGTCGACAGTGATCCCGCCGATGCGTTGGCTGTCCTCCAGCTTCCTCAGCATGTGGTCTGCGCTCAGAACGGCCTTCTCCGACGCCTCAAACTCTTTCATGATCTTGGCATCCGTGGTCTTCGATGGGGCCTTGGATGTTGTCGCCTTGCCAATTGCTTTGCTGGGGCTAGGGCGAGGGCCCTGACCTCGGCCGCCGCTGCCTCGGCTGCCGCTGCCTTGGCCTCGGCCGCCCTCGTCATCCTGCCCCGCGAAGGTCTCCGACCCCCCCCAGATCAAGTCCATCAGGTCGTCGTCCCCTGAAGGGCGTGAGATCACAGGGAGATTTTTTCGAGCCAAATCAATCAATCCTCGCAGAGATGCTTGGTTACTATATCCTCGGTGTGATGCGGCGCATAGCAAATGCAAAGCGGCGCATAGCAAATGCACGTTAGTTGGAAGGCAGGGGCTGAAAAAGCAATTGGTCGACGTATAAGTTAATAAGCGTACAACTCAAGGCCAGAGGGCCCCGGCACAAACAAAAGGAATCAATCAATTCCACGCGGTTGGGGAGAGAGCGAGCGAGAGCGAGAAAGAGAGAGAGAGAGAGAGGGAGAGAGAGAGAGAGAGAGAGAAACAGAGGATTGAAAGAGAGAGAGAGGGAGAGAGGAACAAAAAAATGAAGGGGAAAAACAACAACACACAAACACACACACACAGAAAAACAATCAAAAACACGAAGGATATACAGAGAGAGAGAGAGAGACGGGACGGGGAGAGGGAGAAGGGGGAGAGGACGCAACAAAAAAAATGAACCGAATAAGTGCCATCTGGCTGGGGAGTGAGCGAGCGAGGGAGAGAGAGAGTGAGAGAGAGAGAGGAAAACATGATGGACCCACGAACCCGGAAAGGGATATAGACATGCGCAGCATGGTCACGTTTTCACGATACCCAACTGGGCGACACCTCACAAAACATCCCACGAGACACCCCGCGAAACATCCCACGAGACACCTCGCGAAACATTCCACGAGACACCTCGCGAAACGTTCCACGAGACACCCCGCGAAACATTCCACGAGACACCCCACGAAACATTCCACGAGACACCCCACGAAACATTCCACGAGACACCCCACGAAACATTCCACGGGGGTGCAACTGGGTGTGGTCGTGCTGGGGTGTGGTCTTGCTGGGGTGTGGTCGTGCTGGGGGGGTGGTCGTGCTGGGGGGTGGTCGTGCTGGGGCGTGGTCGTGCTGGGGCGTGGTCGTGCTGGGGCGTGGTCGTGCTGGGGTGTGGTCGTGCTGTGGTGAGGTCGTGCTGGGGTGGTCCGCACCCTGTGATTTAGCACCGCGAGCAACGACAGGCAACCACTCAACCAGGACAACCACGAGGAGACGCGTAACGCACGCAACGGTACGGGCGCCACTCATCAAACACACAGGGAGTCCGTGGCTGCATCGGTTGAGTGGTTGCCTGTCGCCGCCCCCTGGGCGGATCCCCCTCGTAGTCGTCGTCGTCGTCGTCGTCGTCGTCGTCGTCGTCGTCGTCGTCGTCGTCGTCGTCGTGGTCGTGCTGGGAGGTGGTCGTGCTGGGGGATGGAAGACGACCCGGGGAAACGAGGGGCGCGAACCCAGGAAACGGGAGGCGCGAGCCCAGGAAACGCGGAAGGCGCGAGCCCAGGAACGCGCGAGCGACGACCCAGGGATTCCCGGAACGCGCGGCCCGGGGAAACCGTAAGCAGGGCCATCCTAATCCTCCTCCTGTCCTGCTCCTGTCCTCCTCCTCCTCCTCGTCCTCTTCCTCCTCGTCCTCCTGTTCCTCCTCCTCCTCCTCGTCCTCCTCTGCCTCCTCGCCCGCCCGCCCGCCCGCCCGCGGCGACGACCGCGATGACGACCGCTAAAACAAGAACGACAACGGCGAAGACCACGACACCACTAAATTCGAAGTCCGACGATGAAACGACGACGACGACGACAACGACGACGACGACGACGGCGACGGCGACGACGACGACGACTCCGACGACGACTCCGACGACGACGACGACGGCGACGACGGACTACGGCGACTCCGGCGCCGACTCCGACTCCGACCCCGACCCCGACGGCTCCGACGACGGCGACGACGACGGACGACGACGACCACGACGACGGAGCGACCAAATCTTTTGAACCAACTGTGTCAAAAGATTTGGTCCTTGGTGATGTCTTCGGCGGCGACGACGACGACGACGACGACGACGACGACGACGACGACGACGGAGCGACCAAATCTTTTGAACCAGCTGTTTCAAAAGATTTGGTCCTTGGTGGTGTTTTCGGCAGCAGCGACGACGACGACAACGACGGCGACGACGACGACGACGACGACGACGAAGACGACGACGACGACAACGGACGACGGACGACTGACGACGACGACGGAGCGACCAAATCTTTTGAACCAGCTGTTTGAAAAGATATGGTTCTTGGTGATGTCTTGGGCGGCGACGACGACGACGACGCCCGACGACGACGACGGAGCGACCAAATCTTTTGAGCCAGCTGTTTCGAAAGATCTGGTCCTTGGTGATGTTTTCGGCGTCGACGACGACGACGACGACGACGACGGCGACGGCGACGACGACGACGACTCCGACAACGACTCCGACGACGACGACGGCGGCGACGACGGACTACGGCGACTCCGGCGCCGACTCCGACTCCGACCCCGACCCCGACGGCTCCGACGACGGCGACGACGACGGACGACGACGACCACGACGACGGAGCGACCAAATCTTTTGAACCAACTGTGTCAAAAGATTTGGTCCTTGGTGATGTCTTCGGCGGCGACGACGACGACGGACGACGACGACGACGACGACGACGACGACGACGACGACGACGGAGCGACCAAATCTTTTGAACCAGCTGTTTCAAAAGATTTGGTCCTTGGTGGTGTTTTCGGCAGCAGCGACGACGACGACAACGACGGCGACGACGACGACAACGACGACGAAGACGACGACAACGGACGACGGACGACTGACGACGACGACGGAGCGACCAAATCTTTTGAACCAGCTGTTTCAAAAGATTTGGTCCTTGGTGATGTCTTGGGCGGCGACGACGACGACGACGGACGACGACGACGACGGAGCGACCAAATCTTTTGAGCCAGCTGTTTCAAAAGATCTGGTCCTTGGTGATGTTTTCGGCGTCGACGACGACGACGACGACGACGACGACGGCGACGGCGACTCCGACGACGACTCCGACGACGACTCCGACGACGACGGCGACGACGGACTACGGCGACTCCGGCGCCGACTTCGACTCCGACCCCGAACCCGACGGCTCCGACGACGGCGACGACGACGGACGACGACGACCACGACGACGGAGCGACCAAATCTTTTGAACCAGCTGTTTCAAAAGATTTGGTCCTTGGTGATGTTTTCGGCGGCGACGACGACGACGGACGACGACGACGACGACGACGACGACGGCGACGACGACGGAGCGACCAAATCTTTTGAACCAGCTGTTTCAAAAGATTTGGTCCTTGGTGGTGTTTTCGGCAGCAGCGACGACGACGACAACGACGGCGACGACGACGACGACGAAGACGACGACGACAACGGACGACGGACGACTGACGACGACGACGGAGCGGCCAAATCTTTTGAACCAGCTGTTTCAAAAGCTTTGGTCCTTGGTGATGTCTTGGGCGGCGACGGCGACGACGACGGACGACGACGACGACGACGGAGCGACCAAATCTTTTGAGCCAGCTGTTTCAAAAGATCTGGTCCTTGGTGATGTTTTCGGCGTCGACGACGACGACGACGACGACGACGACGACGACGGCGACGGCGACGACGACGACGACTCCGACGACGACTCCGGCGACGACGACGACGGCGACGACGGACTACGGCGACTCCGGCGCCGACTCCGACTCCGACCCCGACCCCGACGGCTCCGACGACGGCGACGACGACGGACGACGACGACCACGACGACGGAGCGACCAAATCTTTTGAACCAACTGTGTCAAAAGATTTGGTCCTTGGTGATTTCTTCGGCGGCGACGACGACTACGGACGACGACGACGACTACGACGGAGCGACCACATCTTTTGAACCAGCTGTTTCAAAAGATTTGGTCCTTGGTGGTGTTTTCGGCAGCAGCGACGACGACGACAACGACGGCGACGACGACGACGACGACGAAGACGACGACGACGACAACGGACGACGGACGACTGACGACGACGACGGAGCGGACCAAATCTTTTGAACCAGCTGTTTCAAAAGATTGGTCTTGGTGATGTCTTGGGCGGCGACGGCGACGACGACGGACGACGACGACGACGACGGAGCGACCAAATCTTTTGAGCCACTGTTTCAAAGATCTGGTCCTTGGTGAACGCGGCTTCGACGCGAGACAACGACGACGACGACGACGACGACGACGACGGCGACGGCGACGACGACGACGACTCCGACGACGACTCCGACGACGACGACGGCGACGACGGACTACGGCGACTCCGGCGCCGACTCCGACTCCGACCCCGACCCCGACGGCTCCGACGACGGCGACGACGACGGACGACGACGACCACGACGACGGAGCGACCAAATCTTTTGAACCAACTGTGTCAAAAGATTTGGTCCTTGGTGATGTCTTCGGCGGCGACGACGACGACGACGACGACGACGACGACGACGACGACGACGACGACGACCAAATCTTTTGAACCAGCTGTTTCAAAAGATTTGGTCCTTGGTGGTGTTTTCGGCAGCAGCGACGACGACGACAACGACGGCGACGACGACGACGACGACGACGAAGACGACGACGACGACAACGGGCGACGGACGACTGACGACGACGACGGAGCGACCAAATCTTTTGAACCAGCTGTTTCAAAAGATTTGGTCCTTGGTGATGTCTTGGGCGGCGACGACGACGACGACGGACGACAACGACGACGACGGAGCGACCAAATCTTTTGAGCCAGCTGTTTCAAAAGATCTGGTCATTGGTGATGTTTTCGGCGTCGACGACGACGGCGACAATGGTGTGCTGCGATGAATCAAAGAATGTAATGCGCCATGCCGCGTTGACCTATGCTGTGCTTTATTGCATCGATGGCCTCCAAGACCTGTCCTGCTCCTGTCCTCCTCCTCCTCGTCCTCTTCCTCCTCGTCGTCCTCCTCCTCCTCCTCGTCGTCCTCCTCCTCCTCTCCTCCTCATCTCGACGTGCGTGTCTGGGTTTCCCCTGTTGGCGTGGGTCGGGTGTCTCTGGGTCGTGGCTCTGGGTTC